TCGTATGGTCGAAAAGGGTATGGCGTTCGCTGTGGCCTCACCACCGTAACCATTGAGGGAAGGGAAGTGCTGCTTGTTACCACGCCAGTGTATTTGGAGGAGAAAAATGGTAGGGGTCGGCTTCATCTTTGGGTGACGGACGGTGCACGTGTGCATGATGCTGGGCCGATATCCGATGCAGCTGATGACGCTGCTGCCAGTTCCCTGTTGTATAGCAGTGGGGGCAATCTGATTTCGCTGTACGAGAATAAGAGTGAGGGGTCATACGGTCTTGTTGCTGTGCACGTGACTACGCAGCTGGAGCGGATAAAGACTGTGTTGAAGAGGTGGCAGGAGTTGGATGAAGCCCTAAGAACGTGCAGATCCACTGCCACTATCGACCCGGTGAGAAGGGGCATGTGTATTCGTCCCATTCTTACTGACGGGCTTGTTGGCTATTTGTCTGGTCTGTCGACTGGGAGTGAGTGGATGGACGAGTACCTCTGCGTGAACGCAACTGTTCATGGGACGGTGAGAGGGTTCTCCAATGGAGTGACGTTTGAAGGACCCGGAGCAGGGGCGGGGTGGCCTGTTGCCCGAAGTGGACAGAATCAACCGTACCATTTCTTACACAAAACGTTCACTCTAGTGGTGATGGCGGTCATCCACGATAGGCCGAAGAAACGCACCCCCATTCCTTTGATTCGTGTGGTGATGGATGACAATGACAAGACTGTGCTATTTGGTGTGTTTTACACCCATGATGGGAGGTGGATGACTGTAATTCATAGTGGCGGTAGACAAATACTTTCAACAGGGTGGGACCCAGAAAAACCGTGTCAGGTAGTGCTGCGACACGACACGGGCCATTGGGATTTCTACGTTAACGCGAGGAAGGCTTACTTTGGCACCTACAAGGGGTCTCTTCTCCAAACAAACAGTATTTCACACATCCAATTCCACGGGGAGAGTGGGGAAGTTGCAGAGTCCAGCCATTTGTCACTCTTCAACGCCCGTTTGTATAACCGAAGACTCAATTCCAAGCATCTAAGATGGCTCATGGTCGGCGAGACAGGCCCAAAATACGATGATGGCAGCTCTTATTCTGCGAGTGCGTCCGAGGAAGGAAGCAGAGGTGGCAGCTCCATGCCCGCGGGTACGTCCGAGGAAGGAAGCAGAGGTGGCAGCTCCATGCCTGCGGGTACGTCCGAGGAAGGAAGCAGAGGAGGCAGCTCCATGCCTGCGGGTACGTCCGAGGAAGGAAGCAGAGGAGGCAGCTCCATGCCTGCGGGTACGTCCGAGGAAGGAAGCAGAGGTGGCAGCTCCATGCCTGCGGGCACGTCCGAGGAAGGAAGCAGAGGAGGCAGCTCCATGCCTGCGGGTACGTCCGAGGAAGGAAGCAGAGGAGGCAGCTCCATGCCTTCGGGTACGTCCGAGGAAGGAAGCAGAGGTGGCAGCTCCATGCCTTCGGGCACGTCCGAGGAAGGAAGCAGAGGTGGCAGCTCCATGCCTGCGGGTACGTCCGAGGAAGGAAGCAGAGGAGGCAGCTCCATGCCTTCGGGTACGTCCGAGGAAGGAAGCAGAGGTGGCAGCTCCATGCCTTCGGGCACGTCCGAGGAAGGAAGCAGAGGTGGCAGCTCCATGCCTGCGGGTACGTCCGAGGAAGGAAGCAGAGGTGGCAGCTCCATGCCTGCGGGTACGTCCGAGGAAGGAAGCAGAGGAGGCAGCTCCATGCCTGCGGGTACGTCCGAGGAAGGAAGCAGAGGTGGCAGCTCCATGCCTGCGGGTACGTCCGAGGAAGGAAGCAGAGAAGGCAGCTCCATGCCTGCGGGTACGTCCGAGGAAGGAAGCAGAGGTGGCAGCTCCATGCCTGCGGGTACGTCCGAGGAAGGAAGCAGAGGAGGCAGCTCCATGCCTGCGGGTACGTCCGAGGAAGGAAGCAGAGGAGGCAGCTCCATGCCTTCGGGCACGTCCGAGGAAGGAAGCAGAGGAGGCAGCTCCATGCCTTCGGGCACGTCCGAGGAAGGAAGCAGAGGTGGCAGCTCCATGCCTTCGGGTACGTCCGAGGAAGGAAGCAGAGAAGGCAGCTCCATGCCTTCGGGCACGTCCGAGGAAGGAAGCAGAGGTGGCAGCTCCATGCCTGCGGGTACGTCCGAGGAAGGAAGCAGAGGAGGCAGCTCCATGCCTTCGGGTACGTCCGAGGAAGGAAGCAGAGGTGGCAGCTCCATGCCTGCGGGTACGTCCGAGGAAGGAAGCAGAGAAGGCAGCTCCATGCCTGCGGGTACGTCCGAGGAAGGAAGCAGAGGTGGCAGCTCCATGCCTGCGGGTACGTCCGAGGAAGGAAGCAGAGGAGGCAGCTCCATGCCTGCGGGTACGTCCGAGGAAGGAAGCAGAGGTGGCAGCTCCAATTCTTAGAGTCAATCGCGGGTGGAAAGTGAAGAGGTGAGCTTTGTGCATGAGAATGTGTCTTGGGTGCTGTTACTTCTGCTGGGGCTTTGGGGTTTTGCGGCTCTTTACTGATATTAAAACGGCGTTGTTGCTGTCTCCAGCGGTACAGCGTATATTTACATTCTGATGGTTTTTTACATATTTTATTGCTGTTTTTTGGCGGGTTTATAAATTTTTTATTTTATTTTTGACCTTTTATTTTTGTATGTATGACTTTATATGAATTTTAATTTTAATTTTTTTTTTTTTTTGTATACCTATTATACTTATTATTATTATTTTTTTGTGTTGATGTGTTTTTAATGTCTTTGATAATAATAATAAATAATAAATAATAATAATAATAATTGGGTTTACTGACTGATGCCGTCCAGAATTTATGATAGATGTTGTATGCGATCTACATAACGCTGTGGATGAATGTCGAGGGGACAAAATTTTTAAAAAAATATGGCAGTTGGGTCGAGTGCTGCATGATGTTATGCAGTGAAATATAAATGAGGCGTGTTCATATCGTGAAGGGGAGAGTGGGGAATTGAAAAAGACTTAAACTAATATATATATATATATATACGTACGTATGTATGTTTGCTTTCTTTGTGTGTGTATGTATGCTCTCTGTGTATTTATTTATTTATATGTGTCTTTATTCAGGCATAATACAAAGGTACTGCTGTGGGATATTGTATGGAAGATATTACATGACATTTTTTGTATTTATTGTTTTTTTTTTGTAAAATAACAATCACAAAAGTAATAATGATACTTATTATTATTATTATTATTATTATTATTATTATTATGCAATTTTTTACATTTAACGATCTGCGTGAAAATTGCTTTGAGTGCGTAGTTTTTTTTTTTTTTTTTTTTCTTTTCTTCCGTACTTGTTCCTTTATTTGTCTGCAGACTTGAGTTGTACCATATATATCCATATATATATATATTTATGAAAATTTTTTTTTTTGTGACTTCTGCGGTACTTATGTGCATATTTGCTTCTTGGCATGGCTGCCTTCTCTTTTTTCTTTTTTTTTGCCTTCACGTCTCTGTAGACATACAACTACCCTCGCACGACACATATAACGTTTTATTGCACGTGGATGGTCCTAACTTGCCGGCAATTGCATGTGGTTGCTGCGTTCTTCTGTGGCTACGAAAGGGGAACATGAGAGGGCGGTGCGCATGACCTCATGGGACATGGCGTGACGCCGTTGGAGGGCCCCGTGAGGCGTCCGCGGTTTCACGGGGGAAGAAGAAAATTAACCCGCTGGAATAGCTGCCGCCGAGCCCGTTCTTGCTGGACGAGTTGAAGCGCGAGTACAGACACACGGACACCCGCACGGTTGCTGCGCCGTACTTCTTCCAGCACTAAGATGCCGCCGGCTGCAAGACTTTGCGGTGCCGCCACAAATACAAGGAGGAGAACAACATGCAGCGCATGGAGCACGTGTGTGAGTTGCGTGGCGGTGGCATGCCGTAGGCTATGGAAGAAGTGGATGACACGGAGCTGTTGGACTGCGGGGGGAGGTGGCAGACGCAGCAGGAGAGGATGACGGGCTACACGTGCTGCAGGTGAGCGCGGCATGCCGGTGAGTTTTTCTAAAGAGGGAGTAGTAACGCTGACGGTAATAGTGACTGTGAGGGTGTGAGGAAGGGGGCAATCGATCAGCACTCCTCTCATTGTTGTTGTTTTGGTGCGTGACTCTCATTGCTGGATGGGACGGTGCATGGTTCAGTGACTTGTGTCTCTTCTCTCTCCCCTTTTGCTTTCACTCTGCGTTGACGGGGAGTTAGTTTGTGCTGAAGGCTACACGCAAGTGACAGGAGTGATGACGATGATGATGACTGGCCGTGTGCTGCTGGTGTGTGCCCTCTGCGTGCTGTGCTGCGGTGCTGCAATGGTGATGGCGGAGGCCAATGTCGATAAAGGTACCGAAATGAAAAAAGATGAATCATTTGACAGTTCAGAGCTTATTTCTGGTATTGTTGGCGCTGAACAACATGTAACGCAGGATTCAGTCAGGGAAGGTTCCGAAAACGGTAATCAGTCTTTGGGTGCACAAACGGGAAATGGCATCAACCAGGATAATGGTGTGATCATAGCATCACCAGCAAGCACAGTGAGAGGGGAAGAAGAAGAAGAAGAAGAAGAAGAAGAAGAAGAAGAAGAAGAAGAAGAAGAAGAAGAAGAAGAAGAAGGGGAAAGTGTTGATGCAGAAGGGGAAACCGAAGAAATTGAGGAACTCAAAGGTCCAATTGAAGGCGAAGAAACATCCCAATTAACATTGCCGCAAGAAGGAGTACTACTACCATCAGAACCATTAAAAACGACACTGAATGGAAACCCAGCAGGAACTTTAAATGCAACACCAGCGAAAGGACAGCCCCGCTCTGATGATGGCTCCGCCCAGGAAGAAGGACTCAAATTACCAACACTACAAGCACCTGCAGCACCTGCAGCACCTGCAGCAGCGGCAGCAGCGGCAGAAGCAACAACAACACAAACAAAAGATGAAAACCCCTCCTCTGCAGATGACCCTTCAGTGCAACATGTAGAAGCATCTCAACACGACATGGAGTTAAGAAGTGCCTTACGAAAAGAAGGAACCATCCCCACCACAGTCACCAAAACAGACGGACCAACAGAAGTTAACGCCGAATCAACTCCAACATCACCCTCAGCTTCCAAAGGTGCCATTACAAATGACGCTGACGAAGGAAATGAAGAAGGCATTCAAAAACACGATCAAGCACCTGATGGTGAAGCGACGAAAGAAGCACAACAAGGTGAAAATAAAGAAGAAAATACAAATAAAACAGCAACTCTTGAAGCCGCAGCTATAACAAATGATACTGCGACTCATGGCGACAGTGACGGCAGCACCGCTGTCTCCTGCACCACCTTCCCTCTTTTGCTGCTTCTTCTTGTTGTTGCGTGTGCGGCTGCTGCTGCGGTGGTGGCCGCGTGAGAGTGAGAGAGAGCCGTGCACCGCCCGCACACACACTCGTCTTTCACTCACTCTCTGTGTGTGTCCCCTTGCATGGACTCTCGCCCTCACCTCATCCCACGAAGCACACACATAATGTGCCTATTGTATATATGCATGCACACCCATGCATGCCCGTTGGTGCTCTCTTTTGCACCACACGCACCGCTGCCGTCCTGCCTGGCTGCATGGGCGGAGCACCATAACTGTTTCTGTTTTGTTTTTATTGCATTGAGTGGGCGACCTCTCTCTCTCTCTCTCTCTCTCCCTGTGTGTGTGTTTTGCTTTACGGGAGCAATGAGAGTGTGTGCGCTGGTCGTCCCACGCTTCGGCTTTTTCTTTTGTTCTTTTCATTGTTTTACTTGTGTTGTGGTTGAGAGCACCGATTCTGCTTTTTTGATTTGCGGCATGCTTTGACTGCATATGACTGAATATTTCTTTTTGTTTTCACATCGTTTATCCTGCTGAGGAAGTGGCAGCTACTTGTATTCTTGTAAAGCCACCGCGTTTTTTATTCCAAATAAGCCATGCGGCAGTTGATGCACGTCACCCACAGTTGACTGCAGCGGTTTTGGTGCTGCCTGTGATGATGACTGCGACGCGATTGCCAGCGGGTGCTTCGTTGTCACTCTGGCGTATTCTTTTTTCCTTCACAATGTGGTGCGTACCGACGGTGCGTGGGCGTCTCTGCTGGTAGTGAGGCACGTGCGCCTCAAAGCGCAGGAGATGCGTTGCAGGTGTGCAGCGTTGTTTTAAATAGCCAATGGGCGTCTGTTCCCGTGAAGGCGACAACAACGGCCCGGATGGCAGCAGGAGGCACTGCGGCTTTGTTTTGTGTTGCACGGCGGCTTTATTTAACAGTGCATTTGATGTTAATTTTGTGGGGCTTTTGTGGGTCTTTTGTGGGGGAAGGAGGGAGGTTGAGGGCATTAGAACTGAATTCCTTTGAGTGGCTGCTTTCAGTTGAATTGCGGCCAGTCGCGGCATTCTTTTTGGTGTTTGGCAGCTCGTCTCTTTTGTTTACTTTCCACTGCAGCAGCTCACACCCGTCTAAACAAATGTTCTTCGGATCAGTCTTATCCACATGCTGCAATGCGTGGTGCGTGGAGTATTTGATTGTGTGGGGAGGTGCATTGGAGTGACGAATACTTCTGTTTGGTGTGTCGCGGTGTGTCGGAATGATGTTCGGATGACATGTGAAGGGTGTTGTTTGTGATTTGTGTGTCTTCTCTGGTGGAGCCGACATGTGTGCGGGATTGTGGCGTTGCTGGCTGACGGTTCCACGTCACTTTTCGGCATTCCTGGATGTGCTGAGGAATGACGGCTTGCGACCAGCGTGTTGGTGCTGCTGGCGGGAATAAGTGCATCGGGAATAGGCCGTTTCCTTTTTCCGTGCTGGAGCCGATGGACTGGCACGAGGCCACCGGCTGCAGGCTGCCTGCCAGCACGTGTGAGCAGCGGATCCATGCACACACCGACGCCCATCGCAAGAGCGTGTGCGATCACAGTGGCCTTTTGTGGCGTGCTTTTGTGGGCGTCAGCTCATCGAAGAATGTGTGAAACAAACGGCTGACTGCACACGAGGAAAATAAGTGCGTGCACTGTGCCGTGTTTTAGCGTCGATGGCAGAGCAGCAGGAAGCCCGTGCTGGCAACTGAGATGTTTGCGTCGCGAGGGATGTCGGTGTTGATTTTGGATCGTCGAGGGTGAAGCGATTTTGCTGCTGCCCGTGTGTGTGGCCACTTCGGCAGAGGGCGGACACAAAAGGGAGGGATGCAGGCGCTGCGTGTGTGTGCAGGTGCCATGCAACAACGCCACAGCAAACGTGCTGCGACTCGGTGACCCTCACATCGCTGTGGTCCTCACGAACAGCCGAGGCACGGCCCACACCGATGCACTTAGTGGACGGAGTGAGGCATCTTTTGAGGCGCTGCAGGGAACAGGATGTGTTGACGCAGCCACGACGTGCATGGAGTGTCACGATGGCACAGTCGGCTGTGGCTGGCGGAATATTTACTTCTCGGAGGCAACAGAGAGAGAGAGAGAGCTGCTCCTGCTGCTGGCGTCGTTGCTGCCTTTTGTGGCCTCCCATGCCGATTATTGTCTGTCCGCTGATCATGGGTGGTGTGCCTCCACTAGTGACGTCGTCTGCAGGCATTTCACAGCACCAGTGAAACACACATCACGTCGCATGCTTTGGCTGTGGATATGGTGTCGTGAATGCAGCCGGCATTATTTTGCCCGACTCCTTTTCACTGCTTTGCGACAAATAGATGCGTCCCCGCCCGAGCCCTTCACTGCGGCTCCGTGTGTTGTACTGCCAGCACAATACGCTCCTGTTGTCTGACGCCTGGCTGACAGTCCAACACCACTGCGTTGGGACATGCAAGGATGTGGATTGCCGCTCACGGTGTTGGGCACCGCTGTTTGGATGCGGCGGCCACACGAGCGGATGTATTGTGGCACAATCAAATGCGTGAAATACGCGGAATCACAGCGGCTGCAATAATATCAGCGGTGTGGCACCACGGAATATGTGAGAGGGGGTGATGCATGATGAATCACAGTGGGCGGCATGCGAGGGAAGTGCACCGCGACGGAGCGTCACCCCGCCCTCAGCCTGCAGGGGAATGTACACCCACAAAATATATGGCCGAGACACCACCAAACACACATGCCCTTCCATGCACCAATAAATAGGAGCGAAGGTGCGTTCTGGTGTGTGGGAGTCCACTCACATATTTTCATTTCCACCGCAATAAACGGTGAGGAATCAGGTGCCACAGCAACGAAAGGAAAACAAAAGCATGTATTGCAACACTTTACCAGCGAAAGGAAGGAACAACACAAACCGAATTGTTGGCTGCACCAACACAAGCAACATTCACAAGAGGAAAGAAAAATTGTGCACCCTGCAGGAATCCCCAACACACGACCCAGGCATGAAGGTTTGCCCTCCGCAAAGCAAAACAAAACAGCGCATGCGGACATCGGCCAACATTAAACAGAAACACAAATAAATGGTTGCTTGCTTCATTCCATTCCTTGCGCCCATATTTTTTTGGTTGTGCTGCTGCTACTGCTGCGGTGGTGGCCGGGCCTGCATGAAGTGGTGTGCGTTGGATATGAACGAAGGCCAAAGGCAACTGAATTATTTTTTGGTGAATATTGGCTGCACTTTCCGTGGACCAACAATCCACGTGGTGTGCGTGGATCATTCCTTTTTATTTTTACTTTGCTTTTGTGTTGCTGTGTGCGCTGCACCTCCTCTTGTGTGTGTGCGTACCCTCCGTGAGGAGTGCCGTCACGACGGACCGCTCTCGCCATATGTACATGCGGTGGAGCCTTGTGTGCCGCTCCTGTTTGCTTCTCCCTCTTCCATCTGTGTGTTGGTGCTGCGGCAGGGCTGTGTGTGTGCGTGCCTGCTGCCGTGGATTGGAGTGTGTGTCGTGCGTGGTGTGCGGCGTACGGTGCATGCCTGGCTGCTGCCCTCTCCTCATGTGGTGTACCCTCTGTGTGTGTGTTTGCCGCACCTCTCGTCTCCCCTGTTGCTCTCCATGTCCCTCACTGTGCAGATCAGCTCCACACCACTGAACGACCACACTCACGATGAGGACGATGTGCCGTCTGCTGTGCGCCCTGTTGGTGCTCGCCCTGTGCTGCTGCCCGTTCGTATGCGCGGCTGATACTGTTGAAGACGAATCTGCCAGCTCGATTTCGTTGTCCTCTCAGTCCGAAGAGGAAGACGATGCCGATCTGAGTCTGGATTTAGGTACGGACACTCATGCGGGACCGGAAAATGAGAGGACCGGTGAGGGAGGTTTACAAAATGAGGAGTCTGCCTCCCCAAAGGGTAAAGAGGACAGCGTTGAGTTGCAGACACCAAATGCAACCACTACGACCACTACGACAAAGGCGCCAACCACTACGACCACTACGACAAAGGCACCCACTACGACTACAGAGGCGCCAATTATTACGACTACTGAAGCCCCAGATAATAAGACGAAGCTCAAACAGCCACGTCTTCGCGAAATCGATGGCAGCCTCAGCAGCTCTGCGTGGGTGTGTTCCCCGCTGCTGCTCGCCGCATGCGCGCTGGCGTACACCGCTGTGGGCTGAAGAGGTGTGTGTGGGCTGTGCTTGCCAGCACTCAAAGCCACGGGGACATGTGTACGTCTAATCTGATCCGATGTATAAAGTAAGAGTAATTATAATGATCGTTTTGCTTCATTTGCTTCTGCTGCTCTGCTGTGTGCTCCGCGCTGCTTCCTGTATCCCTCACGTTGAACGCATCGCGGACACACTCATATGCATGCGCACTGGAGCTCTGGTTAGTTTTTTTCTTTTCTTTCTTTAATTATTGTTTTTTTATTGCTTTTAAACTTCTCTTTACGCGGTGGTGCGCGAGTTCTGCAATCGTACTGATTTCAACTGTCTCGTGTTTTGTGCTTGCTTCTGCAGCGCTGCTGCCATTTGTTACTGTGCGGTGGCTGTTGCGTGGCTGTGTGACGTGTCCTTTTGCTTTCACTCTGCGTTGACGTGTTGTTAGTTTGTGCTGAAGGCTGCACGCAAGTGACAGGAGTGATGGCGATGATGATGACTGGCCGTGTGCTGCTGCTGGTGTGTGCCCTCTGCGTGCTGTGGTGCGGCGTATGTGCGGTGGAAGTGTCAAAGGCCGATGATTCTGAAACTACCGATGTAAGTCAAGGTCCAGCAAAGGGGCCACCGCCTGGACCCGCAGGCAGAAATACCGGACAACAGGAATCTTCAGGCCAAGTCAGTCAAGGGCTCCAAAACGCAGAGGAACCGTTGGATTCAAAAAATGAGGCGGTTGATAATCAGAGGAAGGATTCTAAAATAGAAACACCAACGGCCGACAAATCAGTGGACGACAAAGGAGAAGCAGAGAAAGGACAAATAGGGGGAGGAGCAGGAGGAGAAGAAAGTGGAGAATTACTTGAAGAACGAAAAGCGTAGCCGGATGGACAAGGTAGCGAAGGACAAGCAAGACAGGCAGGCAATGGTTCAGCGAAAGTGGGAAGTCACTCATCAGCAACAACGCCATCAGAAGGGGAACGACAAGGAACTGGCGAACAATCACCGCCAGCGCCTTTATTGCCGGCAGCATCAACACAGGGACATGGAGCAGCACCACCAGCTTCACTGCAAGGAGCACCAGCAGCGACACTGAAAACAAATGAAAAACCAGTGGAAAACCCAAGAACAGAACCAGAAAAAGAAAAGCTGAGCTCTGAAGATGACGTGTCCGAGCAAACGTCTCAAGGAGTCAATGACGGCGTGGAGCCAAACAATGATTCACAAAAAAAGGAAAATGTTTCCGTCGCACTAACCGAACAGAATAGAGAATCTGACGGTGATTCTGAATCAACACAACCACGGCACTTAGCTGTTGGTGATGCCTCTAATATTGACGCAGAAAGGGGCACTCAAATAGGATTGCCGAAGAATAACCCTACAGCTAACAGTGCAGTAACAGAAGGTGCAAAACGAGGTGAAAATAAACATGGCAACAGGAAGGAAACATCAGTCAAAGCCACAGCTATAACAAATGACACAGCACGTACAGGCGACAGTGACAGCAGCACCGTTGTCTCCCACACCACCTCCCATCTTTTGCTTCTTCTTCCTGTTGCTGTGTGCGCGGCTGCTGCTGCGGTGGTGGCCGCGTGAGAGTGAGGGAGAGAGAGCCGTGCACCGCCCGCACACACACTCGTCCTTCAGTCACTCTCTGTGTGTGTCCCCTTGCATGGACTCTCGCCCTCACCTCACCCCACGAAGCACACACATAATGTGCCCATTGTATATATTGCATGCACACCCATGCATGCCCGTTGGTGCTCTCTTTTGCACCACACACACCGCTGCCGTCCTGCCTGGCTGCATGGGCGGAGCACCGTAACTTTTTCTGTTTTGTTTTTATTGCTTTGAGTGGGCGACCTCTCTCTCTCTCTCTCTCTCTCTCCCTGTGTGTGTGTTTCGCTTTACGGGAGCAATGAGAGTGTGTGCGCTGGTCGTCCCACGCTTCGGCTTTTTCTTTTGTTTTTCATTGTTTTGTGGTTGAGAGCACCCATTCCGCGGGCTGCGTGTGTGTGATGATATGAGTAATTTGTGCGTGTGTGCTATCTGCCTCTCTTTCTTCCGTTGCTTTCTTTGGACTCTCTTGTGCCGCACAGCTGCTCTGCAATTATAGGCGCTGACAAACGCACAAGCACACACACACACACACGCCATTATGCATACCCTGTAGAGCGGCGTGATTGCTGAGAACGCACACGCAAGATGCTGGATGCGGCGGCCCTGGCGAGGAGGGAAGAAAGCCGCGTTTTGTTTCTTTGACATGTTGCTGGCATGATGTTGGCGGCATGCAGCCAGTGAATGGTGTGGCATTGATGGTGTCTGAGAAGAATACCTATCGATTCCCGTCCAACAGCTGCACCTGCCGAAGTGTTTCTCTTGTAGTAGTTTTGCCGACAGAGGATTCTTCGGCTGTGCGGGGTGATTTCCGAGTTCTTTGGAGGCAGCTGCAAAACGACTGGCTGCAGGCGTCGGTGCTGTGGAGGACGGTCGTGCTCTTTTGCATTCCGCCAGTCGATTTGTGTGTGGGCCTTTTTCGTTGTGTGGTGGCGCGCGGCGAATAACGACGCACCCGCCGTGACTCCTGCTGCTGCTGGTGGTGACCGTCGCTGTGTGTTCCCGGTGCACTGTTTCTCCGTCTCCTGTTCCGTGTGTCTGTATGCGTGAGTTGTTGTTGGGAGTGACTGCGGCGGGGATGATGGTGCCACTCTCTGTGGATGGGTGGCTGTGTTTACTGTTGTACCTTTTTTATTGGGTATTTCTTTTCTATTCATGTTTTCTTCATTTATTTCTTACTCACACAAGGAGGAATTTACGACTAATCGCTACTGTGAAATTGGAGGGCACTGAAAGGACCAACAACAGTACACACACCGCCCACACACACATATTTATATGTTCTCACGTGTTGCTGCAGTGAAGGCACCCCGCACACACAACCGTCGCCGCGTGACCGGATCCAGCGGGAGGAAGAGGGAAGGAAGAGAGAGTGAGCCGCAGAGGCCCAACATGTCCCGGCGTGTGTTTGCTTCCGCGGCGCTGCTCCTCCTCGTCATGATGATGTTCTGCGGCAGTGGAGCTGCGTCCGCTGGTAAGGAGTCAAGGTCAGGAAAGGGATCGGAAACGGAGAAATATTTTGATTGGAGAGATACAAAAGATGGGGAAGCAGTGAGTTCGCTCCGTGTTCCCAGTCTTGTTGAGATGAACGGTGATGTGTTTGCCGTTGCCGAGGCGCAGTTGAAGGATGAAAGCGGCTTTACTGGGATTGCCTCGGAGCTCTTGACGTTAACTGGCCAGGAATTAAAAGAATTGGTTACAGATCGAGTGAAGACACAAGTACTGGTGGAATGTCCATCCGACAAAAAGAATTGTGCCTCCCATTCAGAAGTTTCGGCTGGTTCTCAGAGTGAGAAGAAAGTACATGTGAGCCGACCAACAACAGTCGTGCAGGGAAGTGATATTTACATGTTTGCTGGAAGCTACAGTTTTGAAGTTACTCATCAGACCTCTTCTGAGGCTCAATGGGGACTTTTGCTGGCGAGGGGCAACGTCAGTAATGATGCGATCAGAGGCAACCGAATTTATTGGAGCGACGCTTACGTTATCCCGTGGATCCATTTTGAAACACAACACAAATCCTTGACAGGGCTGATTGGCAGCGGCGGATCGGGTGTTCGGATGAAGGACGGTACGC